AAAACATGCATGGCAGGTTAATGGAACACTCTAAATTGTCCCTAGGTGTGCGTGTGAGCGCAGATGTTTGTTCGATTATGCATGCCCCGCGATTGGCTGGCACCTGGTTGAGGGTGTACCTAGACTACTGCCCGAAGGCAGCTGAGATTGGCGCGCCCGCGACCCTTGTGAGGATAAAGCAGATTAGAAAATGAATGGATGGATGGATGGACGGACGGACTTTGGCAAGCCTTCATAAAGAATCCCACAATCAAGGCTTGATACGTGAGTCCATTGATGGCAATGGCAGAACCTCTTTGTGCGAGCTGGTTGCTTTCAAACCTGTTGTGTCCGGGACTTCTATCACACGTTTTTGTTCCGGGAGTTCCTCCTCATCTACTGATTTGGGCCATCGCTTTCCAGGTAAGCAGACGTTGCGGAAGTTACGAGCAGGACCAGATGTCCCACTTTGAAGAATGAAGAACGCTTCCCCGTGGCATTCGCTTGGACGTACTCTCAAGTGAAGGGTGCGATTGTAGCAGAAGGAAGTGGACCGTTTAATTGCTCTGCAAGATGTGTCAATGTGTGTGTGCTGCGTTACAGGGCCTGTCATGCTTCACCATTATGAAGAGTGATTTTGCTTTGATGCAAGGTAATTTCCCCCCCAAATAAGAACCATCCTGTTTATGTCACGATGAAACACTTAAGATGTCCTTTAAATATTCTCGCTCATTTGTCACTAACCACAAAAACTCTCGCACACACACTTTCCTTTTACATACATACTATTAAGTGCCATGGTTATTGTTTCAGGACTGAGACACTTGTGCAGAACATAAGTAGAAGGTGTAAAACTGTGCTGCATGCTTTAAATGAAAAAACAAAACTAAAAAACTGCGGAAATTGAAAAATAGGAAAAAGTGTGAAGTTGTGCTGCACGCTTGTAATGGGAAAAAGTAGCACAATCTGTTGGACAAATATACAAAATAAAAATTGAAAACCGGCAGTCTGAAGTGAAATGTACCATAAAGGATTGCTTAAATTATGATTTAAAAAAAAATGCTAAATATTGTTATCAGTGGAACCTCCTTTTGTCTACCGAAACCATTTTTCAGATTTTATGTAGTTTTGCTAATTCAGGCGAATTAAAGGAACCGAAATGACAATTTTTGAAAAATGAAAATCCGATTATTCTTTCAACACAGCTATATTGCTTGAAAATGACAAGCCCAAAATGCCCCGAGAATCCCTTAAGGGTGCAATCAAGAACTATGTTTTTTTTTTTTTCGCTGACTCATCCATTTTAGATACCTGCTGCGATCAATACAATGAATCCAGTTAAAATGTTTTTTTTTTGGTTTTCCTGCCATAGCATAGCTTAGGGCCATGGAAGGTGCTTTTTAAGTGATAAAAGTGGGACTCATTTCCAGCCAAGATGTTGTGCATGCTAATGAACAACTTCTGTCGTGACGAACAAGAGGAACAAGGTTTTATATGGAGATAAAATCACACATTTTTAAGATTTTGACATTAGCAGGCCCCTTAAATTAATACCTCTCGCTCCCAAAATATGATTATAAAAACTTGCAAAATTTTCTTTTTTTATTTTGGGTATAATTTAAAAATTATTTAATGTTAGTCATACCCACAGATACTGTTATAGTACTGGATGGCGATGCGCACTGATGTTTGTATCACGTCAGATAAAAACAACATTCCATATGAAACGTATTACACATTTTTGCGATACGCATATTGCCTGGGCCGATATCACGTTGACAATATTTTTTTCGATATATTGTGCAGACTGACTGTGTAACGCATTATAGTGAGTGCAGACGCATTGCAAATTTGTCACTCTTGAGAAAAGTTATGGCCTATCCCTGCTGACTTTTGGGCGAGAGGCAGGAAACATCCTGGATAGGCCACCAGCCAATGTCAGGCTCACCCCCACAAAAAAACAAAAACAAATGCAGCATGTATTACACATACATATACTGTACATACATTGATTGTGACACTTTTGGCACTCGAGAAAGTTTCAGCTAAAGCCTATTCCAGCTGGCTTTTGGGAAAGAGTCAAGGCTAGACTCCTTTTACTCTCCTGACTTAAAAAGTGTAAATTTTTACAGTGAGTGCAGATAAATTATATATTAGCCACCCTTTTCTAAAAGTTCCCCAAGGAAAATGAGTTCTGTTTATTGCGTGTGGGAGTTGAAAGAGTTTTGAGAAGTGCATCGAAGGATTGATTGTCTTGTTTTTTTTTTTTAGATCTTCATACTTTTTAAGCATCTGCAGACAACCCAAAAAATTTAATTCCTTTGAAACAATGACACATTTTCTATTTTAAATACACATAAACTATAGCAAACGGATGTTTAATCTGCCTGCGATAAATCTGCAGAAGCACAGCATTTTTTTGTTTCACTTTTGCTTTTAGACATACCGATGAGCGCTAACATTAAACCAGCCAGATAGGGTACGCGACGTTACTTTTAGCGCATTAACTGCAGGTGGGTGTGCGAACAAGCTGTTATGCAGATTCACAGCTAGCGTATAAAAACAAGACATTGTGCTGCGGGTCACACACTGCATTATTAATGGCATTTAGTTTGACTGCAGGCATATGCAGATTTTCTGCACTGCCGTACACAATTGAAATTATTTTGGAAGACTGAAACTGGCAAGCAAAAAGACATACCCGCCACACAGAGCGGGTCTTTTTTTTGGTTTTATGATGTATTGGTTTGTTTAATCTCCAAGAGGAGGAGGTGAGCATTCATTTTATTGCATCTGTCTGACGCCATGCTGGTTCTCCTGATAGCGTCCGTGCCAGTGAGGCTTTTCCGTCCCTGGCTCTCCTCTGGTGTTAGCGCACAAAGCCCCCTTCGTGTAGCCTGGCCCAAAAAAAAAAAGACCCCTTTCAATTGGACACAATCCTATTGTTATACCCCCTTTGGCTTCATTCCCAGATCGTCTCCCCAGCCGCTGTCTCTCTTGCTGTTGCATTCCTCTTGACCTACGGCTCATTCGGAGCCCTCACTGAATGTGATCCGTGTTAATGGTTCTGAGGTCACAAACATTGATTAGACTTGGGAATATGAGTATGTACACAGAACATCTCTCTCTGATGTGTGAGTTCTAGTATACGTGCGTGAGAGTGTGAGTGTGTGAGGCCACATGAGCTTGGAATGCTATGACTTGGAAAATTGTTAGTCTGCTCATATTTCAATAATTTAGCATAGATTTGTTCTGTATGCTTATCTGGATGCACACTGTAGGTCCAGGTACCCACTTCCGATGTCAGACCTAAACCTGTCTCTTTGTACATTTCAAGTGACACATTACCCAAATGGCTGTGTTTAAGATAAGATAAGAATCCATGACACCACCCACATGGGAAAATGCTCGAATAGGACATAACTCAACGCAAGTGTCAACATACGCCAGTGACACCATGGAGGTAAACATAAATAATGCAGATATTAAAGGTTCCATACCATCTATTTGGCCAAGGCTGACTCTTCTCCGAATGCAACCTCCACATTACTTCACTTTCCACCTTTTGCAATAATTGAGCTTATGCAATGGACACACATCTAATATTCATATTTACACCACATTCCATTGTCTTTGTTATCCCGAGTGTTCTTAACATGTACTTCAATCACATCAAACTTGGATTGATGACGTTTATCTGATCTGTGTGTTTACACTGCACTCGCATTGGCAGTTATCCAATAAATATCTGGAAGATGCCGACTTGGTGGTCGACTGGTGAGCACGTCTGCCACACAATGCAGAGGTCTTGGGTTCGATTCCAGGCTCTGGCCTTTCTGTCAGCATTTGCATGTTCTCTCTGTGTTTGTGTGGGTTTTCTCCGGGTACTCTGGTTTCCCCCCCACATTCCAAAAACATGCACACTCGGTTAATGGAACACTCTAAATTGTCCCTAGGTGTGATTGTGAGTGTGAATGGCTGGTAAACAGTTCAGGGTGTACTCTGCCTACTGCCTGAAGAGAGCTGGGATAAGGTCAAACACGCCCATGACCCTCGTGAGGATTAGCGGCTTGGTTAATGGATGGATGGAAGGATGGATGAATGGAAGACGCCTAATCGTCATCTGTCATCTGATGCCATTGTTTTTTATTTATGTTGCCATTTTGCATTTACCAATTGTGGGCAAAATCCAAATTGAGGACAGAAAAAAAATATCTGAATTGCGTCACTTGAACTGTACAGTGTAAATCCATGCTAATGACTGTAGCAGGTAGAACTAGGGATGGAGCCCAAGAATCCATTGTATCCCAACTGTTTTTCGAATTAAACATGAAGTGCCTTATGTGAACCAAAGAGTAGAGGAAAAGTGGAACAGCGGATTGAAAATGCGGAGCAGAAAAGTAACACAGCCCGGGGCTCAGAGCTAAATCTCTTGACATTCCTAAGAACAATCATTAGCATGCTTCCAAGACACCCAAGGAAAATTGTTTCACAACAAATCTTATTTCCAAGTAGAAAATATTTCATTTGAATCAAATGTTCTGTCTTTCTGTTGACTTTTGATAGCTTCAACAACCAGTTTAGGCTGCAAACTGCTGCCAAGTAGTGGAATCCGTTATGCCGGTGTTGACAACACAACAGCCTCATAATACCATCAATAAAGACAAAATTATGCATGTGACAAAACTAAGACAAACTCGAGTTTGGTTAAAATTGTGGAAGCTGTAATTGAAGAAGCTGTAATGTCAAATGTCTTGCCCAGTTTAGGTCCATGCATCAGAATGGTTGCAATTACAGTCATTTCACATTCGATACATTTTTGTTCTTGTTGCTACTGTAGGAAGGGAGCTCTATCCTGAACAGAGCATACTGAAAGCAATTTTAAAAATTCCGTGCAAATTTGGGTTAGGTTGCTACTGTAGGAATGGGACAATGTCGTACACCACTGAGACCCTCAATGTTAACGGAGCAAAAGGATTTTCATTGAAATTAATTATTAATTGAAAGAACTGTATTCCTACCTTTTCTGTGGACTGCGAAGTGCCAAAGAAGATGGGGATGAATGCCAGCCAGATTATGCAAGTGGTGTACATGGTAAAACCAATGGGCTTGGCCTCGTTGAAGGTCTCCGGCACCCCTCTAGTCTTAATGGCGTACACGGTACAGGTGACCATGAGCAGCATGCTGTAACCCAGCAGACAGATGAGGGACAGGTCGGAGATATCGCACTTGAGCACGCCGCGGGCCATCGCTGGATTAGACGTCCTCTGATCCTCATAATCGATGATGGCCTTGGAGGGATCCACGCCAAACCAGATACACACGCCGAGCAGCTGCACTGATGCCAGAGTGAAAGTGATGATGAGCTGTGAGGCTGGGGAGATGAACCGGGGCGCACTCAAGGACATGGTGCCTTGATCAAAGATGCGGTAGATGCGGTTGGTTTTCGTGAGCAGGGCGGCGTAGCTGATGCTCATGCCCAGGCCCAAAAAGATCCTCCGGAGGGAGCAGATTCCCACGTCCGGGGTGGAAATCATCAGGAAGGTGGTGGCGTAACACAGGAAGATGCCGGTAAGCAGCACATAGCTGAGCTCTCGCCCCGATGCCTTCACAATGGGCGTGTCATTGTACCGCACAAAGGTGACCACGACAAAGAGGGTGGCCATGATGCCCGCCACTGCGATGAGCACCGGGATCACTGCCCACGGAGAGCTCCACTCCAGCTTGACGATGGGGATCGGGACGCAGCCCGTGTGGTTCTCGTTGGGCCGCAAGTCGAATCGGCACATCTTGCAGGTGAACGTGTCTGCCTGGTACTGGTAGCCATCGCACCGCTCACAGTGCCAGCAACACTGGATGCCTTTCACGATCTTCTTACGTTCGCCGGCCCGACATGCCTGGCTGCAGATTGACGACGGAATCTGACGGACAGAGCCGGGCCACTGCATCGAACGAACCTAGGAGGAAGGCACAGGAAACAGACTTCAGCATCTTTCACATAAAATTAGAGAATTGATTCACCTTTCGCGCGTTTCACACCGAACCCAATGATGCGGGACATATTGTCTGGTATGATGTATGCAACACTGGTCAGACTGTTAGACTTGCTTTCTATACATCAGGGCGGAAGAAGTGAGTCTCGGATTTTTAACTTCAAATCCCCGTCGCCATTCTTTTTCATCCAGTCACTGTCCCGTATCTACAGCTACCTCCAAATCCAGTAAATTGGTGGCTCAACTTCATCTTCCCACCCCATCCTGGTCTTGAGCTCTTTGATACGAATTCTAAACCTGACGGGGATGTGAAATTCAAAACCCGAGACTCACTTCTTCGGCCCCAATCAAAAGCAATTCGAACAGTCTAACCTGTGTTGCATACATCATACCAGACACTACACCACGCATCATTGAGTTCTGTTATTTATGTTGTTTTGTAGAAATGGTTCTTAACCTGGGTTCGATGGAACCTCTGCCATGGAGGTTAAGATACACCCAACTCAACATGCAAATTAGTCATGACACGCCCGCTTGGCCATCAGTGCCTGTTTCATTTTGTGCACAATTAAAAAAACCTTACACTTATGTCTTGAGATTTTATTTGAGTCTTTTTCTGTTTTTAATAAATGCGTTTTTTATTTCTTGAATTTGTAAAAAAATATACAGGTATATTTTTTTATTTTTCACTCATGAAGGGTTCGGTGAATGTGCAACTGGTTGGGTTCGGTACCTCTGACAAGGTTATGAACCACTGGTTTAGATGTTTGAGATGTCACAAAAGCAAAAAAATAATGGTGCCATTCTTGAAATTATGCTTGAAATGCATGACTGAAGCACAAGGACGTTGTACTTTACGTATTTTACCTAACCCTTTCATATTGAAAAACACCCCTACAGGTTCTTCTTGTGAATGTGTCTTTTATCAACACTGAGAAAGAAAGAAAATCTGAATTTGACATTCCCAAAAAGTTGGCTTTTTAAAAAAATTACTTTTATCCACTTGTTGCCACGCTTTCTAAAGCTGGCAGTAGCGTGTAAAGGCGCATTTAATTTAAAAAAAAAACAAAAAAAAACAAAGCAAACTAATTAAATAAAGCCAACTCACTTGGTGCGCTCGACTCAACTGAAGTCAGCAGCAGGTTGTTGAAAGAAAAACAGAAGACAAAAGCTTCTCTCTCTCAAGCTGCTTCATGTGTTTCAACTTTAATCTCTTTTCGGCTGCCCAAGGCCTTCTTCTTCACATTCTCAAAACACAATTTGTTTTGTTCCCTTTTATGCCGTTGACTGGTACAAGACTGTCACTTCATCACAGCCTGCTGAGCCCGCAGTGTTATGTTTCAGCAGTTAATGACGCCGTGGGGCACAAATGCTATTAAATGTGTCTGTCATGGCTCTCTTTTCATCATGCGCTCATTCAAGGAGGCCCTCAGGATATTTACTCACAGAAGATGGCACCCATCAAACGATTTGCGAAGGAGTTAGCGAACAAGCAAAGACACAAACTTTGAGTTCATTTTATGTCACTCACATTGAGATGAAGTTGATCTGTCCAGTGGCCGATGATCTTGTACTCCGCCGTGAGGTTTCGTATCTGGTACTGATAGATCTCGTAGCGTCCGGGTGCATCTCCATTTTCGTTGAAGAGCACTGGGTTTCCTGCGATGCCTGGAAATGGGAAAATCATTGTGCCTCATTTCATTGTCATGTATTACCATATTGGCCCGAATATAAGACGGCCCCGATTATAAGACGACCCCCTCTTTTTCGTGACTCAAGTTTGAAAAAAGACGTTTTGAACACCAAATTATTTTTTATAAAGAAAATAATTACAGTATGTCTGAAACAAATGATTATAACAATATATTTGAGAGAAAAAGCATGTTATTTTGCCTCATTCAAATCTGAAGTGCAATCACATTCGTAAATGAATGGCTTCTGGTTTTTGAAATGTAAATTACATCATAACTTCTCCTCAGCTGCCGGTTAACCTGGCCGATCTTCGACCCACTTTTCTCCAGATTGTCACTACGTTTCTCCATTTTCTGTTATCTCTTCTATTATTTTCTTCTCTTTTCATTCTTACCGCTATTTTTTATTTTTCTTCTTCGTGCTACCGCTATTTTTATTTTTATTCTTTGTGGCAGGGGTACACTTTGGCCTGGGGAGTCAAGTTCAGCATTCGCTTCAATGATATCTGGCGGCATCTAGCGTCGTGAATGGGTATAATGTCTAGACCCCGAATACAAGACGACCCCGACTTTTTCAGTCTTATTTCAATGCAAAAAACACCGTCTTATATTCGAGCCAATACGTTAGAATCTTTTATGTCAAATGCACATTTGTGTTGTGTGTTGCCATTATTTGTCTATTTCAGGCTTTCCCAAACTATATCCGATCAACACAAAAACTTTGATGACAATGTTTCTCAGAGTATGATGGTCCTGAAATACGAGGCAACGGCATGCGATTAACTAGTTTGTGCAACGGCTTAAGAATACATGGTCAGTTGCTCAGTTATCATCTTGCTCACTTTATTTCATTTTAGAGTATTGTGGCCTTGAATTGTTATTCATACAAATACATTACGCTCCAAATGATTATGCAAAGGATGTTTTTCTCACGGCCCGGTGGGCCAGTGGTTAGCGCGTCAACCTCACAGTGCAGAGGTTGTGGGTTCTATGCCAGCTCTGGCCTTCCTGTGTGGAGTTTGCATGTTCTTCCCAGGCCTGAGTGGGTTTTCTCCGGGTACTCCGGTTTCCTCCCACATTCCAAAAACATGCATGGCAGGCTGATTGAACTCTCTAAATTGTCCCTAGATGGGAATGTGAGCGCGGATGGTTGTTCGTCTCTGTGTGCCCTGCGATTGGCTGGCAACCGGTTCAAGGGGTACCCCGCCTACTGCTTGAAGACAGCTGGGATAGGCTCCAGAAACCTCTGTTTTTCGCTGAAATCAAAGCGATTTTGATCAAAAGCATCCCATCAGGTAAAGTTACACTTCAACACAGGACTTCGTATTTGATAGCTGCCTCGCAATTCATGCATCCCTTGAACTGGTGAGTTTTTGGAGAGCTTCTGCTTGAATTTCATTCCAGGATGACAGAATAGCTGCGAGAGCTGCTGTTTGGATGTGAACTGTCTCGTGACCCCCATAGATCTTTTGCTACTGCCTCCTACCCTCACAGACCTTTTGCTTTAGGATCCTCCAAAAATCATGCAAAACCATGATTGCACCTCAAAGCATGACTTTTGTTTCCTTCCTGATGACGTTAGTGTTATTCCTTTTCCAATACTGGTCAGAAACCGTTTGTTAATTGGATCCACACTGCAGAGTAGAAGCAATTTTACTTTTCTGCTTAAGTATAGGATGACAAATTGTTAAATGCACAAGTATAAAGTCCGAAATTCTACGTCACATTTGGAGTTGGTGTCATGTCCAAATAACTCCACGAATTTCTGGCATTCGCTCAGGGTTAATTTGGTCCTAATCCACATCTGTTTATACTGATTAGAGAAGCGATTGGCCGCAATCATCACAGGCTCACGGGGGGATTAAACGCAGGCATGGATGTTATCTCGCTGCACGACTCGTACCACCGTGAAAGGGAGTGACAGTTAATACCGACGGGCGATGACGAGGCTGAGGCAGCTGTACAGATGAGTTTTATAGGATTTTGCAGTCTTCTTCGGAGATTGCAGACCCTTTAGAAATGACTTAGAAAGGCTGACAGTCATCACTGAGCTGATATGGCAACAACTTACATGTAAAACAGCATGTCATCGAAACTGAAGGTGCTGAAGAGTTTCGAGATCCAAAGACTCTGAGGAGCAACTGGCAACACCTGACCACTTAAACAATAATCATTTTAGAATTCCAAATAGATTTTTCACACTCTTGAGATACATTTTTCATCTCAATGAATGACAGTACCGTTGAATTGCCTGCCTCAAAAAGAGAAGCTCACGTATTTTAAATTATTCATTCAACACGTACGAAAATATTTTTGAAACGAGTATTCCTCCTTAAGTTTTGTACTAAAACTCACCCACATTGTAAGTGATTCCCAACCACTAGTCTGATTTCACTTTAATTTAGATATGATGCCAACATCATTTCAGCAGCGTGCGAGTATATTTTAAAGTTTGATGCAATCACTTTGCGTTAGACTAGCGAAAGGAAGTTCGCCTCCATACAAAAATGATGATGCCTGCATAGTTTCTTAATCAGTTCTATCATTTCTAGCACACACACACACACACACACGCACACACACGCACACACGCACAGACACACACACAGACACACACACACAAACACACGCACATCAGTGCTTATTGTGCTTTGACTTGAAGTGAGAAGTGGAAAAGGACGACAGCTCCTCTGGTGAAAAATAGTCTTCTTCCAAAATAGCATAACAATCTTCAGATATATTTTTTTAAAACAAAAAGAACGATTCGGGGAAACTTGTCTTTTTTGCCACGACAATGATATTAAGGCAGCCACTATTAGAATTGGAAGAAGCTTGTGTGTTGGCAGAAATTCAGGTTGCACACACAAGAACTTGCTGCCGTGGATAATTTTATGAAGATTTTTATGTCTTTTTTTTCTGTTTCATTTTAAGAGACGCTCCAATGCACTAAATACTGTAGGTATCATACACAGAGTCAAACAAAGCCCTCCCCCACCTCGGTGCCTCAGACCACACCACCGTTATGCTAATGTCAGCATACACGCCGCTGGTTAAAGTCATCAAACCAGCTAGAAAGCAGGTACCGGTGTGGCCTGAGGGATCCACAGAGGCACTCCAAGACTGCTTTTCTACCACGGACTGGAGTATGTTCAAACAGGCAGCTACCACCAACAGCAGCATCCGTGACCTCCACAAGTATACAGAGACTGTGATATCCTACATGAGGAAGTGCATGGACGAGGTCACAGTCACCAGAAACATCACCATCCGGGCCAATCAGAAGCCCTGGCTGACAGCTGACAGGTGAGGTCCGCAGGCTCCTGAGGGCCAGGAACACTGCCTTCAGAGCTGGGGACGTGGTGGGTCGAAAGACTGCCAGGGCCAACTTGTCACAAGGCATTAGATTGGCCAAGAGACAATACTCCAAGAGGATCGCAGACCATTTCAATGACAGCAGAGACACCAGGAACCTGTGGCGGGGGATCCAGACCATCACAGACTACAAATCCTCTTCGCAGACATGTGACAGCTCCATCTCTCTGCTGAACAACCTTAATGACTTCTTCGCCTGCTTTGAGGTAGACAAGAACACCCCAGCACAGAAGACCCTACCTCTTCGTGGCGACCAGGTGCTGACGCGTTCCCGGGATAGCGTGAGGTGGTCCCTCAGAGGGGCAAATGCACGGAAAGCGGCAGGTCCTGACAACATCCCTTGTCGTGTCCAGAGAGACTGTGCTGAGGAGCTGACAGATGTCTTCATTGGCATCCTCACTGAGCCAGGCTGTTGTCCCAACATGCCTCAAAGCCACAAACATCATCCCGGTCCCGAAGACTGCAGACGCCATCTCCATTGCCCTCCACTCAGCCCTCACCCACCTGGAGACCGAAGACTCACACGTCAGAATGCTGTTCATCGACTTCAGAGCAGCATTCAACACCATCATCCCGCAGTAGCGCATCCACAAACTAGAACACCTGGGGCTCAACACCTCCATGTGTAACTAGCTACTGGACTTCCTGACGGGGAGACCCCAGGCAGTTTGGGTAGGCAGCCACACCTCCAGCACCATCATGATGAACACGGGGGCCCCCCAAGGATGTGTGCTGAGCCCCCTCCTCTTCGCTCTGCTGACCCACGACTGTGTAAGTGTACTGTATGTGCACATTCATGCATGTGCATGTGTTTCCCCCGCCACCCGGCAATTTTTGCATAATTTTTTGGGGGTGTGATACAAAAGAGAGCAATTGTCCATACGCAAGGGCACACAATACGTCTTCGACCACATTCTGTTTTCACTCCGCTTGCCTTTGCCAAGACAGACGCGGCACCTTCGCTGCACTATTGGTGCGCCACGCGGGCCCCATGATCCACACAATGTTCGTGCACCCGGAGCCTCTTTTGATGGCTGCTGCTCGCTATTTGCGAAGCGTCCAGCTTTCAGTAACTCCATCATCCTTGTCATGCTTGGTGGAAGATTTTCTTCCCCAACAGAAATCTTCAAGGGTTAATTATTTTGGTTTCTCCATCACTACTGGTTTGAATGCACTCTTTACTAACTCCACGCGACTCCACATGACTCCATGATTCTCCACAACTCTCCCCATGCACCTCTCCCCCTCTACTTCTGCTTCTACTTGTTCTGCAGCATGATCCTGGCTGATCCCTTACACCCACTGCCACCTGCTGGACAAATAGGAAATGATTTATGATGAAGACAAGCCTGATCCTGAGTCAGAGGCTGCATCAGACCCTTCTGCACACTATGACACACACAAAAAAAAAAAATTGCAAACGACGTAAAAATCCGTCATAGGTAGGCGACCATAGTGAATTTTCAAGACGCATTTATACGTCATGGGGAATAAGAGTTAATTTAAGTTATGTTGTCTTTCTTTCAAAATCTGTTACAATTATCTGCCATCTTGAGTTAATAGTTACAGAACCATTTTTGTGTGTTCCAGCTGTCTTGGAATAAC